ATCAATTCTTGTGACAAATGTTGTCTGCCATTTTGAGTATATCATAACATAGCCTACTTATAATCCTATCAATTCTTGTGACAAATGGTGTTTGCTTGACTGTCATTTGGAGTATATCATAACATAGCCTACATATAATCCTATCAATTCTTGTGACAAATGTTGTCTGCCATTTTGAGTATATCATAACATAGCCTACTTATAATCCTATCAATTCTTGTGACAAATGGTGTTTGCTTGTCTGTCATTTTGAGTATATCATAACATATCCTACTTATAATCCTATCAATTCTTGTGACAAATGGTGTCTGTCAATTTGAGTATATCATAACATAGCCTACTTACAATCCTATGAGAAAACTACAAAGCACCAAGTATGTCAGCCTGATTCCAGTGACATACATAAAATAGCACAAAGCCTGGCAATATAATCAGAACTTTTAGATATATGTATACACTACTTGGAAGATGTGTGTAGTTAATGCACAGCAAAAGTTAAAAAACATTTCACCTGTGTGAATTGTGCCAGTTAAGCTACTTTGTTTACATTCACTTTACATAATGGAAGTTGCTGAATTTCCTTCAGTTTTTTAGGAACATATATTGTTTACAATAATTTATCTACTAGTTTACATTTAAAGTTTAGTGAGTTCATATAACTGTTTACTAACTTGTTTCTTTTGTCATGTTTAGTTCATTATAGTATTTAGATTATTGAAGTGTGTTTGCACAATTGTTCATTTTACTATGGTGTTTCAGCTGCTTTGATGTTTCAAAATAAAATGTACGAGTTGTATCCAATAATTTATCTTCATTTTAATAGTGACATAGTAAAATGTACCAGTCAAAATGATGACAGTATGGCAGTTTTAGGTATCAGTGAAACTTGGCCCTTATAGCATTAAACTGGATCTATCACGAATTTATATATAAAAACTACATACCTGGACAGATTCTGATGATACAGCAGTGGCAGCTATGCTTTCTGTACCAACTTGTCCTTCATTGGCACTTTCAGTCTGTGAAACTGTGTAAGAGAAAAATAATGATATAGGATAGTAAAGTTAACAATTTCCTTACCTGAATACATAATTCCAATAGATACAAGAAGCTATTGATCACCTAAGATGTAGACTGAAGTAGTGTAAGATGTCATCATCATATAACAAATGTTCTCCACTAATAGGAGGGTGAAATCCTCCAAGTGCAGATCCTCATAAGCACTTGCACTCAAAATTAACTTCATTCTTAGATGAGGCAAGAATAATGTGTACTGGCAGTAGGAAGGAGGAGGGTTGTAAAGAGGTAAGTATGTATCATAAATACATTTTTAGGTAGGGAAAATGTTAACTTTCAAAACAATATCCTCACCTCTTCACATCCAACACTGAGTTGGTGGAGGGACAGGTACAATTGTGTAAACGTAGATAAGCTTGCTTTGGAGAAGGCAACTGAAATTAGGGCTTACTAGACTTGTGGGAGGCCACATCCATCTCATGCAGGGTATACTCTTCAACCAAATGAAAATATGAAAAGAAGGCAAAATGAGTCCAGGTGTCACAGGTACGGGTGGAAAAAGACATGACGAACCAAGCAGCACATAAAAAGTTGGTTGGACATAAGGTGTAACGTGGCCAGGTCAAAGATCAGACCATACAGTTTGGTATGTGTTCTGTTGTACAATTTACTTGCTTTATATACAGGAAATAAGTCCCTTCTTGTCACAAGAACATTTTGTCCTATCTGGCTGGCCAAAATACCAGGAAAATGGCATATTACATAATATACCAGCAGCTAGGAACTGGTATCAGCTAGGGTCTCCTGTGCTCCCCTCAATGACTGGGGAGGAGATTGCATAAGGGAAATGCTGGAAAGGTGCTCAGACTTGTTACCATGAAACATAATTTGAAAACCCAGCTTATAACACCATCTCAAACATGACCATTGTACAGAAAAAGGCAGATGGGTTTAATGCTTTCCGTTATTCCTCACTCGATGCAGGTTTAAGGAAAGACTCAGCTGAAGAGATAAATAGCCAAAACAATGTCAAAAGGGACAGCCCAAAACTGGTATACCTTATCCTGGGAAATGAAATGAAGGATGCAACATGAGGACAGGGCAATCAGATTATGGAGAAAGGCATCCGAGACCTCAACCTTGGTTATCCATAATACATGGGAAAAGAACCAACAGAGAGGAAAAAAAAAACTCAATCTTTAACTGAGGAACCAAAAGACAGTAGTGGACACAGGAAAAATTGATGGCAAAACACCAGTCCCCAGTGTTTTTGAGGATAAAAAAATCCTGGAATGAGGCAAATGATCCTTTCTATGGCTTTCATGTCCAAAGAAATCCAATACTACAGCCTCAAAATGCAAAAGACACTGAAGACTGAAAGGAGAAGAAAGAAATAGGAAAAGAGGACAGAAGAGGAAGAGATGAGGAGTCAAGAGAAATGTTGTAAGAGCCTGAACGATCCACCAATCAGCTGCAAAACTGGTAAAATAAAAATCTATAAACAGAAACAGATGTATCCCTACAGGGCCTGAGCTGACTGGTTACAAAGGGAGGGAGTCACCAACCAGTCCAATAGGAAAGTGGACAGCAAAAAAGTGGAAGAGTGACAAAAAAAAGGTGGAGGATTTCCACAGGGTGAAGGAATGGAGGTGGACTCATGAGGCTGTAAGAGACAAGAAATCAAATAGGAAAAAGAGAACTCGTATTGGGCAGCCTTGGCCAGTCTCCAAAACATTAAAAAAACAAAGACTTCAAGGTGAAAAAAAAGAAGACAGACAGAGGTCAGAAAGTTAAGAATGGGGAAGATCAACATTAGAGAATAAGCGTCACGTTCCAGAAGGTCTCAACTACAGAGAAATCAAGTAAGTAGGGACAAGGCAGAAAATGAAATCCTGGGCAAGATATTGAGAAGCACCAACTGTAGATCTCCAGAAAGGCTATCAGGATCACACTGTAGGGCTTCAGGTAGGAAACAAAGAGAGGACAAGTAATGGCAGAGATGGGTAAGAAAAAGGCAAAGATGGGAAAATTGAGCCCAGGAAAGTGGTACTGGAGTTAGAGAGTCAGTCCCATAAGTGGGTAAAAAGTGACTTGAAGATGAAAAAGGGGAATAATTATTAGCCATGCATTTGAGAGTAGAAAAAAAGCTGATTCAGAAACTTGTTGACATGAATACATATGACTGAAAGAGGAGAAACTCTATAATCCTTAGTGTGCGTGATGTAGTAAGGAAGAATTAAAGTACATAGGAGAACAAGAAAATAAAGAACAAAACTGAGAAATCAAATCCACAAGGAGATTTGGAGGACAAACATTGTCCTTGACAGGTAAAGAGAAACCTAGTGCAAACCCGGGATGTGGAAAGAGCTGATCAAAGTCATCATCTTCTTGGTCAGGTTCAGAAAAATAGGAATGCATTTCAGATGCAGGGACAGGGAAAAAGAGGCAAGGAAGGCATTAAAGAACCTACAACACAATGAGCTATGACATTAATGTCTCCATCAGCCAACGAGTATCCAGTGGCCACAGACAAAGTAGAGGCAGTGTTGAAAATATCACCAGAACCAAGGAGGTAGTAATCACTGTCACATCAGAATTCATAGTCATTCTATCAATTCTTCATATCTTTTTTTTTTTTTATCAGCAACATACCTTTAAGTCAAAGTTAAAACCAACTAAAAGAAAATCAAAGAAAGTTAACACTGTGCAAAGATAACACAAGACAGTACCAATGAAAAGAATGAAGTTAATTTCAAGTGCAAGTGCTTATAGGGATCTACTGTGCATGGAGGATGTGTCACCCTTCTATTAGTGAATGGTTTTGTCACATTATGATTACATCGTGCATTATTGTAGTTTGTGTTATAACATGTCTTAAGTGGGAGTTAGCTCAAGGCAAGTACACAAATAATAGCTATAGTGTGCAGAGTAGTAGTTATTCAATAAAATGGTTAGTCATGCATCCAGGTCTGTATAAAGAACAAAACCATATACACATCATTTCATAACAAAGTAATAAATTGTAATGCCTGTGTAAGATAGTAAAAAATAAAATAAAAACCATTAAATCATTTAAAAACCATAAGATTTTGTACCTCTAATTTAACTGCAAAATTATAAATACTTTAAATCATCACTGCTTTAATGAATAGATTACTATTTATAATGGTATGCTTTCCATCAATGATAACATGCAATGTAATTTAGCAGAGGTATCACCAGAGAGAACACAACTTACAATTTTTATCACATTTATTGTCATTATTTAAAATGGCAGAAAAATGTGCATTAAATATTTTGATAGTATATAATCCATAAATCTGTTTGTACACCCACCTTGTTATAGTATCTTAAACTTAAAAACTTCTGGTCTTCACACTTGCTTTAATAAGTTTTAAAATTATAAAAATGAATAAGCCTATACCAGTACTACAATATCATTATCCACATAATTTACCTAACACTGCATAACATTACTTGTATTACCTTTCCTGGTTTCTTTGAAGTTATTAAATCAGGAATCAAAGGTCGTAATTTACATTCAGTTCCTAATAACAGAGTACAGTCATTCCTACCTTCAAAATACGTTAAGCTATTCAAAAAATATGAAGACTGTATCTTACTTGAATAAAAAGAATGATTTATTGGAAAATTTCTTCATCACCCTTCTTTGTTTTCATTCATAATTGCTCAGAATTACATATTTATATCAAATACAGATTGAAAACCAGACTTAGCATATAAATGTCAAGTTAGTTATTATTTATGATAATAATTTAACGATTATTTCTAGCCTAATTCCATTGTAACATGGGTCTTTAATGCCTGACAAAGGGCATCTGCTTGAAACGTCACATAAAATAAACTGGAAGTTTTCATTTAGACATGTCAAGTTATTCTTTATTATCAGTTATCCAACTTTTTATTCTCATGTCTTACTGAATAGCACTCATCCAAGTCTTACTTATGATCATTTTCTTTAATTGAATATATATATATATATATATATACACACAACAAAACCAGAAAATTTTGGACCTTTCAACCCAATATATATATCATCCAAACCATCAGAGCCAAGACCCAAATTACATTTTCACACAGTTAGTTCAGATATCCTGAATAAACACTTCATATTCAAACTTACTATAATAAAATATGAATTAAAAATTAAATGATTTAAGCCATCCAAGGAGTCTGCTGTTTCTAGAGGTTAGGTAAATAGGATTTTTGGTTGTATCTACAGAAATAATGAACTCAAATCTAAATAGGTTATAATGTCATCGTATAAATCACTGATTAGGCTACATTTGGATTATTGTGTTCACTCTTGGAAATGTAACTGAATTGTTGGAATAGGTTCAAAAAAAGGAAACAAGGAAAATAACTTGGATGGAAAGGTTATCATATGTAAGAACAAGTTAAGGTCTCTGAAAATGTTTTCTTTTGAAAACTGTAAAGTTAGATGGGATCTGATTGAAATGTTTAATATTGTCACGGGGAACTGACCAAGTAGATGCATTATCTTTTTTTTTCACCCTTATTATTAATAATAGTGAGAATGGTAGGACTAAATGGCTTAATCTAATGATATTTTAGGCCTAATAATAATATACAACAAAATTAAGTTAGAAATAGAACACAATCAAAACCTCAACTATCAATATTTATGACTGTGGGCCTAACATTAACAAATATATAAGCGTAAATGTAAACCTAATGTATCGTGGTATGGTATCGAACTTTAAAATTCCTAGTCGATCTAAACGTTACTAATACTGCTACTACTGGAATGATAATATTTGTCAGCAGTAAACAGGCCTATGCTCTAGCCATAAGCTATACTATAGCTGTTCAATTTCATTTCCAAATTCAAACGTTTCTGATTATCAATATCAGTTTGGGCAAAAGTTAACATAAATTTTTCAAAAATCACATTTAATCAAAAACATATTAAAATAAATTATATTAGAATACTCTCACATAAATTACAGTGACGTACATTACATATAAATAATTAGAAATAAAATTATATTGATGCAACGTAGCATCTTACGTTCACTATCCGCCATTTTCACGTTGAACTATTAATAATTCAAACATCCCGTTGTGGTATGCGAGATATAGAAAGAAAGAAAAAGAAACAAAAATAGAAAAACATGTTACAATAAATGACATAAACAGGTTTTTGTTTGTTTGTTTGAAATTAAGCACAAAGCTACACAATTGGCTATCTGTGCTCAGCCCACCACGAGTATCGAAACCCGGATTCTAGCGTTGTAAGTCCGCAGACATAAACAAGGAAAAATAAAACAATAACACATGTTAATAAACACCAGCATCGAGTTCACGAATACAAAACGAATTACATTATGTACAAAAAAAAATTTTGCTCCCAGGGTCTCAGTTGTACGTCTGCAGCTGACAAAGCTAAAATTCGAGTTTAATACCCAAGGTAGGCAAAGTACAGATAGCCCATTGTGTAGCTTTGCGAATAACAACAACGTAACACCAAACCTATTGTTACGTCTCTGTTCGTTTGCTAATTTCTCGTAAAAATACTTTCCGAAGAACTTCTGCGATACAAGTCCTTTCTTAAATAAAACTAGTTTATTCTTTCTCAATACAACTTTGCAATACACTTAATTTCCACAGTTACTTTAACTTAAAAAACACGCTACAATTCACAACGATTCACGCCCTTTACTTACGGACAGCACCGCTCGCTTGACTCAACTATCAGTCTCTATATCTATCTTCAATTATATCTCCGCTTTATTTGCCGGGCTTATATACTAAAATAGAGGGCGCCTAGAAAAAACTAGAGTTGCCAGGAACAGTCACGATCCTTCTAGAAACTCCGGCGCGTATGCTTCAGCGTCACATGACTTCCGCTGTCATAACACTGCCCCTTACTTCGTATTGTTCGTCCCGAACAATAGCCACTTACATTAAACCAATAGATAATTAACAATAACTTATTTAAATGTACAGAATTTACAAATAGAAAATTAAAATTCAACAAAGTCTCTTAATTTTACGGGACGTATCTTCTTCCATACTGGTCTCTGTCTCGTTGGCTTCTGCTTCACGTGGGGTTCATCTGCTCCATCAGGAAATGTCCTGTTATTGGTAATAGTCACATCAGTGGTAGTAACTTCATTTAGGGCTTCACTGTTTCCATTCTCAAAACCGGGTAGAGTTTCTTCTTCGATAGTGGCTTTTTCAGGTGACACGTCTTCAGCAGCGTCATTTGTTCTGTTGTTCACTTTGTTCCAACTGAAATGTCCTGGACCGTGATAACCCCAAAGCCTGTTGGCACATACCACCTTTGGCTTACCTCGCCGACCACATTTTTTCAGAAAGTCGTATCTGAGAGATGACCCACTATGTCATATGGGCCTTCTCATGGAGAAGACAACTTAGGAGACTTCCCTTTGGTCTTCCTGGGATTATAAACCACACCTTGTCTCCTGATACAAAGCTGACTTCAGTAGATCTCTTATCATAACATAGCTTCATGGAATCAGCAGACTGTTGCGTCAGCGAAGTCACATGACTAGTGTGACGCCACGTTTCTAGAACTATCTTGTTCCTTCATGAATGCCCTAGCATTTACTAGATAGGGTAGTCTTGTATATATATAAGAGGGTGACAACGTGACGGAATAATTGTGTGTGTAGATAGTGAGTAATTGAACTGCAGTCAGAAGTATTGTTGGACGTTCGTTGATATAGCGTTTGTTATAGAGCGATTGTTGAAAATAAGTGTATCGTAAAGTTGTATTCGGAAAGAATAAGCCAGTTTTATTAAGTAAGGACTTGTGTCGCTAAAGTTTCGTCGGAACGAAGTTACGGAAAGTTAATTAACAAACGGAGACGTAACAAATTGGTGTCAGAGAGTGGGATAGAAAAAAATGGAAACGAGAAGCGGCAAATCAAATCTACAGCATAGTAGACTTGATGGCAGCAATACAAGAACAGCAAAAGAAACAAGAAGAACGAGAAATTAAACAAGAAGAGAGATTACAGCAGTTGTTAGAGGAAAAAGAAAAGAAACAAGAAGAACGAGAAAATAAACAAGAAGAGAGACAACAGCAGTTTCAAGAAAACCTGCAACAGTGGCAGCTCGAACAGCAAAATAAACAAGAGAGATTACAGCAAATTGTTGGAGGAAAAAGAAAAGAAACAAGAAGAACGAGAAATTAAACAAGAAGAGAGATTACAGCAGTTGTTAGAGGAAAAAGAAAAGAAACAAGAAGAACGAGAAAGGAAACAAGAAGAGAGATTACAGCAGTTGTTGGAGGAGAAAGAAAATAAACAAGAAGAGAAATTGCAGCAGTTGTTAGAGGAAAAAGAAAAGAAACAAGAAGAACGAGAAAATAAACAAGAAGAGAGACAACAGCAGTTGCACG